ATTTAATCACATTCTTGTAGAGCCCTGGTGAATGCCAGGAGAATGGGTTTATTACTGCCTAATATTCCGCAGCTTTTATTTTAAATTAATGGTTTGCAGCTTTTTTCTTTTTGCAAAAAATTTATTTGAACTAAAACAAAAACACATTCACGTCAATCAAAGATGCTGATGAACAGAAAGGGGGGGAGGTTATTTATGGAGCTTTTGTTTCCATACTCTGCATCCCAGCACAGCCACCCATCTGTCTTCTCTACGCGACAAGGGCAGCCACATCAGTGAACAACATTACGTGAGTGCAGAGAATTAACGGAGTACTGGAGAGATGCACATAGGGCCAACACAGCACCTATCTATAGATTACAGAGAGACAGGCTGGACACTAAATATGCCTCCAACCCTATGCTAAACCTACAAAGATGCCCCTCAGGGCCTTCTGCGTGCAAAAGCTACAACTGCCGTCAAGTTGCAACCCATCTCTTGCTCCATGTGCTCTGCTTGCTCCTTATTTACTCTCTCTTCAGCAAGAGAAAGCCCACTTTACAGAATCATGGAATCACAGAATGGTTTGGGTTGGAAGGGACCTCAAAGATCATCCAGTTCTAATCCTGCTGCCACGGGCAGTGACACCCTCCACTACACCAGGTTGCTCAAAGCCTCATCCAACCTGGCCTTGAACACTTCCAAGGATGGGGCACCCACAACTCCTCTGGGCAACCTGTGCCAGTGCCTCACCAAGGGAAAAATTTCTTCCTTAGATCTACTCTAAATCTCCCCTCTTTCAGTTTAAAGCCATTGGCCTTTGTCCTATCACTACACGCCCTTGTCAAAAGCCCCCCTCCAGCTTTCTTGTAGCCCCTTTAGGTACTGGAAGGCTGCTGGAAGGTCTCCCCAGAGCCTTCTCTTCTCCAGGCTGAACAGCCCCAATTCTCTCAGCCTGTCTTCATAGGAGAGGTGCTCCAGCCCTCGGATCAAATCTTATCTTGCCTTCCATCTCACATAGTCAGACCTCGAAGGAAGACTATTCCTCCCAAAGACGAAGTATAAATAACTCCTTCGAGCTGACCTTCTTCCAAAGGTCTGGGCTGACTCACTGGTGGTTTACACCCCAGGGCTGAAGCCTGCGGGCACTGCTCCAAGCTCAGCCGGTGGGAAAGAGCCACTTTTTATCGCAGCGAAGAAGTGGAAAGCAACGCGATTAATTCTGACCCGAGACACACAGGAGGAACGTGCATGGCTCTTGGCAAGAACAGCCCGTGTCCTGTAACTCATGGCCCGGTATCAAGAGGGATCTAAGAGGGGTGAAGAGCCCCAAGGTCACAACCCTGCTAGGGATGAATTTGGGGCATGGAGAAGAATTGCTCCTCTAGAGTGTCAGCCCTGAGAAAGAAAAGCAGCTTCACTGCTCTTCTTGCAAAACCTGGGAACATCCCAAACATCTGATTTTCTTATGAAAAACGCACAAAGGCAGCAGGAGACAATTGGCAAGGAGGGATCTGTCGCTGCTCGGGCACTGCCTGGCACCTCGCCCATCCCCACGCTTTGAGGGCAGCAGGTTGTATACCCACAAGAACCAGGACTGTGCCAAGGAGGTGAAACCTTCCTTGGGGTGAAACCTTCTTCGTGAAAGGCCAACAACTTCTTAGTTCAACTTATACCAATGTGATGCCTAGGACGTGTCACAGTCCCTGAGCTAGGACATGGAGGAGCACAGAAGTCCCATCAGGTCCTCAACCACGCTGCTGTTGCCACCGAGGACACACCATCTCTACTGAGCTACCAGGCTCTGCTGGTGTCCACAGAGAAGTCAGAGGTTGCTGGGAAGACATCTGACCTCGACCACATATATAATTCTGCCGGCTCCGCAAAGATGAGAGGGAGGAAGCTTCCTCACCCCTCCTCCCAAAACAGACCTTGTTTTCCTTGGCACGAAGGAAAACGGTTGCTGAAATGCACGCACACCTGTAGCAAGATGAAATTTCCATTTTTCTAGGACAGCAAGGGGGTATTTCACAAAACAACATGCCCCAGTTCTTGCAGGTCTTTAAATATATATAGATGCACATATATCATTCATAAAAAACATTAACCAAGCAAGTAAGTTAGAAATTAAGCAATACATACATGAGGCTGGGCCCGAGAAGCTGGTATGTTAATTAATGCTGAGCCGGTCATACCCTCTGCAAGCTACAAATTAAAATGATTGGTTATCGATGGGGTTAGAGAAACAATGTTTAACATACATCAGCAAAAGCACAATTAAGGAGAAATAAAATGAATGAACTCCAACAGTGCTGCCTTCCCCCTTCCCTGGCTGAGAAGGTTGAGGTCTCGCTGGCCAAGGCATCCCTGGCACGAGAGCAGGGTTTGGGTTTGCATTGATCTTCATCAAACAGGACTGGTTTTGACTGGTTAAATAGGGTATTAAAGGGAAAATGCCGCAAAAACACACGTTACAGAAAAGCTGTCAAATATTTCTTAGTGTAAGACAAAATCTCCCAGGGAGACTGAGGGCTTGCAAATGCAGCGAGCCAGGTTCATCGCTGGAGCCAAGGAGGGATCTGACCCAGGGTGTTCTTAACAGAACGGGATTAGGAGAGCTCAGGACCCAGGTCTGGTACAAAGAAAACGCCGAGCAGCAGCCCAGCTTGTCCTTGAGATGTTCTCCCCAGAAAGTAGGTGGTCTTGAGCATCAAGACCTTGGTCAAGCTGAGAACACCAAAATTACAGCTGCTTCATGGGAGAAAGATTCCCCCAGGCTCGGTTCCCACTAGGACAGCCATGGAATTCTTGGAGGCTCATGGGATACAGCTCCTCCATGACTATTTTATCAGAAGAAACAAGTATCTGCTCATCCCTTGGGGCTGCAGATGGACATCATGGTTGTCCTTTCTGCTCTGCTTCCCATGGGGATGAGGACCCAGGAAAGAGCACGGAGAACAAGGAGCGACCACAGGTGCAGAGCAGGCAGGAACAGAGGCAGGTCCACACCTGACTCACCCAAGAAATCCTGGAGCTGCTCGTGCACACTCAGCCCTTGCAACATCCCGCTCCGTGTGCATCTCCCAGAGAAGCAAACTAGAGAGGCTTAGCCCAGGAGACCTTGCTACAGAAAAATTGCATTTCTATGTATTTTAGAAGCTTCTTTCCTTCACGCTTGGTCACCACGATGTTTGCAGTCCATGCACACACAGACTTGTTTTAAACAGACCTCGAGCTGAACTTCTCACCCCACTTGGACACAATGGACAACATGCTCAGCAACCTCAGAGCTCAGGGGTTCCGCGTCTGTTTGTTTTCTCTCTTTCAGATGAGGACAACAAAGTGATCCTTTGTTCCAGCCATCCACCAGAGGAGGGACCAAAGCCAAGCTTGGCAAGGAGGGAGAGCGGCTTTGGAGCCACACAGCGAAACACACCCATGCATACATGCATGGGCAGGAACAACCCTGGCTCCTGCTTCCAAGGTCACCACTGGAATAGCAAGCGGTATGGAGACCGCAGCCCTGGGCACGGGCTCCTGGCCAGGGATCCATCCCCTTTCCCAGGGAGAAAGGGTAGGATGGCCTCTGCAGACTGGGACTCCTCCTTCACCCTCCAAATGTGGACCCAGAGGGGGTGGAGGGACCCCAGTGGCTGCAGGGTGTCAGACCACCGAAGCGAAAGTCACTTCAACACATCTTGGACACCAGGAGAGGGTAGGCATGGGACAAACAGCACCCACAGCCAAAATTCAGAGGTTAAGCAGGGAGATGGTGGGAATTTTGGTTTGGCTTTCCAGGAACAAGCTCCCTCCTCCTCCTCTACTCCCCAGACAAAGGGCAGAGTGAAAGACAAACAAACAAACAGAGAAGAATTAATCTGGGGTCAAACTGAATAATTCAGTTCATTGCAGGGTGGTTTGTTCGCAAAAAGTTTGTTTCAGTAAAGAAACATCAAAAGTCTTCCACTTCAGAACCGTCACCGCAGCGGAGGGTTTTGGCTTTGCCACATCCCTCTTCCCCTCTCATCCCTTCACTGCCCATTCAAACCGCTCCCCAAGTTCGATCTGCGTTTGCCGATGCTTTCGATGGGCTTCAGGCTGCCCCAGGGAGCAAAGAACTTATTGCAGAGCTGCGGTCTCTCCAGCTGCAAACCTCTGTCTTGCTCCTTCCTCTGACACAGCTCCGGGGCCCCCCACAGCCCCCTGGACCCCACCCTGCTTCCAGGAGCAGCCCCCGCGCAGCCAATGCTGCGCACACCCATACAGAAGCGTCTGCGTGGCCCCATCGTGGCTTTTGTCCCCAAGAGGTTGATCTGAGAAGGTTTGGTAGCACCACAGTGAAGTCCCTGCAGGGCCTGGGAGAGCCGCAGCCACGCAGAGCCCTGTCAAGCTCCGTGCTTCTCCAGAGGGAAGAGCAGAGCCGCTCTGGCCACTCCAGCCTCGGCAGCACTGCAGGAAACCCACCTCGTTACTGCTGCTGCCCATGGCTATTTTTGGGGAAGAAGGTCCTGCCTCCAGGCCTGGGGACATCGCTAGGGAAATACTTTTCTGATCTTTGCTGGCCATTTGAAAAATAAAACTTACCTCATGCCATACATGATGTCATTTATTTTGGTTAAAGGAAAGGCAAACATGAGCAAGAGCTCACCTCACCTCACTTGGCTACCTCAGGCTGAGGGACCTCCTTTTGGTGAGGCCAGAGGTGCCCCCCTTTACCTGCACATCCCTCGCTCGTTGCCACAGCCCTCCTCTTCCTCACGGGCATCCTCAGGGGCCAGAAGGTCACTCACCTCTGACTTCTGCACCCAATGCCCATGAATGAAGTCCTGGAAGTTTTGCTAACTGTTGGACCAAGCCTGAGGCCCCTGATGACGAGGTCTGCACGCCAGAACAGGGAGGGGGACTGAGTATCCAGAAGGAAAAGATAGCCAGGATCACCCGCAGGCAACATTCAGGAAGGGCTTTGGAACAGCCAGCCCATGGGGCAAGCCCTGAGGATCTTGCAGAGGATCATCTCTCACGGACTTCTCCATCCCAGCACCAACCAGGACCACGGCTTCCTCCCCACTGGGGCTCAGACCGGGCTGCTCCATGCCCATGACTCCGGCAGCACAACGAGAGGGATCGACACTGCAGGAAGATGCATCTTTCTTCATCTGCAGCCCTGTCCTAGTTTTAGCTGAGACAGAGGTAGCTCTTCTTTTTAACAGCTAG